GCGCGCGTCGACGCAGCAGCCGCCGGCGCTGGCTGAATCGACCAGCAGCTGCAGCGTGCCGGGCGCGGTCACGTCGATCGCGGCGGCGCACTGCGCGGCGACGGCGGCGACGCGGTCGTGCAGCGGGGCCAGGAGCACCTCGGGCACGGGGAGGCCTGTTCGGGTGACGTTTCGGGGGGTTCCAGAGGTTTCGGGTCGTTGCAGAGGATTGCCTGGCCAACCGTGACAGGTGTTGACCCGGCAGCGGGGAGGCAGGCAGCTGACGGCGCGTGCGGGAGGCAACCGGTCAAACGTGCGCGCGCGCTCGGCACCGGGAGATGTCCGGATGGCACCCAGGCGCGATCGATCACGCGTGGCCGCGGATGCTAACCTGAGCGCAGCAGCTCTCGCAGCCCGTGAGCCCGCACAAACGACTGGATGGCCGCGATGCTGGCACAATACCGCAGCCGCCCCTGCGCCTCGTCGCTCGCAGCGCTGCCGCCACCCCCGCCGCACGGCGCGGCTCCGCCGCAGCTCGCACTCCCGCAGGGCGCAGCCGCGGCCGGAGGCGGCGGCCGCTCCGCGTTCGTGGGCGACGGCGGCGCAGCAGGGGACGCGGCGGCGACAACAGGGGTAACCGCAGCCGCCGCGGGCGGCGCGGCCGCCAGGCGCTGCTGCTGCTGCTGCTGCTGCTGCTGCTGCTGCTGCTGCTGCTGCTGCTGCTGCTGCTGCTGCTGCTGCTGCTGTGCGGCCATTGCGGCCTCGAGCGCCCTCAGCTTCCCCTCGAGCGCGCTTGCATATTCCGCCGTCTGCTGCAGCTGCTGGCGATGCAGCAGCAGCGTCGCCTCCATCGTCTCCTCACGCCGCTTCCGCCGCTCCCTGCGGGGGCGGCCGTACAACAACATGATGCATCAGCAAGCGGTGAGGCGTCCCTTGCTTTCGCCCCGCGGGTTTCGAGCCCGCCAGGCAGCGGCGGAGGCGTTCGGCGCGGCGCCGGCGCGCACTGACACACTGGCGCTCCGATTGGGAGCCGCCGCGGGGGGCGGGTCGAGGTGCAGGTGGGGGGGCGGGTTAAGATGCCGTTGAAAGGCAGTGGGCGAGCAAGCGCCAGGCAGGGGGCGGGCTCGCACCTGTAGCGCTGCTGCGCCGCCTTGTTTTGCTCCTGCTGGCGCCGCAGCTTTGAGTCGGGGTCCTCCTGGAGCGGCAGTGACGCCTGCGGGCGGGCGCGGGGCGGGCGCGGGGCGGCGCCTGAGGGCGTCATCTCGGGCCCCCGCGTGCGGCGGCCGATACCCCTGGGATGCTTTCGGTCCCGCCAAGGTGGCGCTGCTCTGCGGCGCATGCACGCGACTGTCCGTACCCACGAGTGCCTTTTATAAGCACACGAGGCACACCTTTCGCTTGCAGGCGCGGTCCGACTCGTCGCCTGGGAAGCACGCATCCGCCCTGGACACTGCCGCTGCCATAAGCTGTGGCGGCGGCACACCGCCGCCGCCGACGCCCGCATGCTGCAGCACGTAGTGGTGTGCCATGCAAAATTGCGGGTCCATGACTGGCCTACGCTCCCAGATGGTGTCCGTGGCACAGGTACCTCGACGGCAAACCCTTCGCAAACGCGGCGTAACCACAGGTCCGCAGGGACCGCGTCAGCTGCTGAGAAGAAATGAATATTTTGTTTTGAAAACCCGCGGTCCAGCACAGGCTGGGGACGGGATGGAAATCTGTCGGTGACCCCTTTGTGTTGCGGCCGAGCGCAGGCGTTGTGGTGTGTCCGAGAAGCCTATGCAAGTCTGCTAGCACAACTGCAGTACGGACCAAGGGCTCTAGCCACCCTGCAACGCGGCGGCACTGTGCGCGCCACACGGGTGTCATGATGAGTAGTAGACAGGCCGATTGCCCACCCGGTGCAAGCCTGTGGGGCTCAGCAAAGCCTCCCAAGAAGACCACGGACTTGCTTCCCTCCACTGCGCGCCCGCTCGGCCATGGCGGGGTGGAGCGGGCGCCAGGACCTGCGCCGAGAGGGCCACCCTCAAGCTGCGCATGATGTCCGCCCGCCGCCCCCTTTCCGAGGCACTGCAGACCCATCAGTAAATTTTGATCAAAGCTACATTATTATGGGATGGCGGCGCTGCAACGAAGCACAATTGAGGCGGGGAAATGAGAACTGGGCAAAGAAGTCACTGCATCTTGCACACCTAGCCATGAGTTTGTTCCCAGGAATCACATGACCAACGACACGGTGCCGCAAGCCATGCGTGCGCTCATACCCCCGCAACCCAGCTTTCTGTGTCTCATCTTGTGCCGAGAGCTTTAGACCCACACAGCAAGCTACGGCCGCAAGTGGGCAAGATTGCAGCTGCCCAGAGGTGCGTCATGAGCGCCGCCACCACGTGCCCACCTCATCACGCCGCGGCCATGATTGTGGGCTGGCCCGCACAGGCCGCATGCCTTCTCAGCGCCCCCGCCTGGTGCCTGGTCCACCGTCATCCCCAACACACCGATCCCAGCAGACGAGGTAGCACGCGCTCCGCTCTGGAAGGCCCCCAGCGGCTGCGCGCTGCCTCGATTTTGGGCACGTTTGGGCGTGGCCAGCCGCGCCCAAATGCGGGGCTGCGTTAGGATCACGCGGTGCGAGTGCTCAATTATCCCCTTGCAAGTTTTAATCGCTGCCCTCTGCTGCATCATTTCGACTCTGCAGGGTGTTGCCCCCGGGCGTGGTCGAGCCATCTCCCAGTCAAGCCACGTCAGTCGAGGGGTCCAGCTAGTATTACCGGCCCCCATGCCCGGGCCGGCCTGCCCTGCCTCCTGATGAATTGGGCCCCACGTGGGAGTTTCGAGAAGCGCGGGGCAGCCGCCCACGCCGCACTCTTGTTGACGCCTCACACTTTCGCGTACTGGCGTTACACGTGCCGGCCCTGGCGGCCCTGGCAGGAGACACTCGAACCCAACACAACTGAGGTGGAAGCGCAGAGCCAAGGCAAACCGTCTTCACATGCAGCCCTCGCCTGACCGGCGCGCCGCCGTCACGTGCATGCAGGCATCATTGCGGCCGTCACCGCGTGCTGCTGCCGACAATGGTTGCTGCAGCCGTTGCCGCTGCCGCCACTGCCAAAGCCGCCGCTGCTGCCGCCGCTGCTCATCAAAACCGCCGCCGCTGGTGCCACTGCCATGTGGTGCTGCCGCAGTCCCCGCCGCCGCCGCTGCTGTGGCAGCTGCATGCAGCCGCGCCCAGCCCCTGCCTCTCTGCAGTGTTGGGGGTCACAGGTGCCGCCGCTTGACGACCCATCTGAGGCGGTCCCGCACCTGCTGCCCCATCCGCTTGTTGAACGTCGCACGTTTGGCCTGCCACAGGTTGGGTGGGGCGGGCAGGGGCGGGGCGGGACGTGAGCGGACATAAGGGAAGGCGATTAAGCCAACACGTGACGCGCGGCCGGCCGAGGCGAGGCCGGCTCCCAAGGCCCCTTTGCAGCGACAGGTGTGGCTCCCGCCGGGCCAGCAAGCCAGCTCTTGGTCGGCAGCAGGGGCTGGGATGCTGCCGCTGAGCATTGCACCACACGCACCGATTATGGTGCCGCCCATGTCTGTGCTGCGCCGCCCCAACCACGCACGACCCACAACCAACCCGGCCACACGCCAAACACAAACCCTCACCCACACGCCGCACGCCCGCCTTCTCTCTGCCTCGGGGCGCACCCTCCCCAACGGCCCTCTAGCCGACGGCACGCCCCCTGCCTTGTTGCACAACTCAGCACTGGCCCACCCCGCACGCCCCCTCCTGCAAGCTCCAAAAAGCGCGTGCCGCCGCAAACCCTCCTGCCCAGCCAAAGCCGCGGGGCCGCACCAGGAATTTCAGCTCGTGGTTGGTCTCCCTGTACTGCCTTTTCCGCAGCTCGGTGTAGAGCCCGTTGTCCGTGGCGTGGCGGCTGAGGCGGCCGTAGGCGGCGTCGACGTTGTTGTTTTTGACGTTGACCGCGACAAACATCGCGCGCCGCTGCTGCTGCTGGTGGTGCTGCTGCTGCTGGTGGTGCTGGAACAGCGCAAGGTGCTGCTGCTGCCGCTGCCGCTGCTGCTGCCCGGCGCCGTGGCAAGCTGACTGCGGGAGGGGTGTCTGGGACAAAGCTGCGCTGCTGCTGGGGGCGCCGGCGCTGCTCGCAGACGCCACCCCAGGGCCTGCTGTTGCGGGCGCGTTGATAGCGCGCAGCCCGCACTGTGCAGCACTCGTCGAAGCCGCTGCGGTGCGCCAGAGACTGTGCAGGAGCCCTGCAGATATATGCCTCTGCATGGTTTTGCAGGTGTATTTGCACGGTTGCACGCGTTGCGAGCACGATGAGATCTGGCGTGTTGCAGTTCGTGCCGGAAGACCCAGGTTATCCGTATGACGAAAAAAAGGGGCCAAATTACCAAGTCTGCTCGACACAACGGCAGATGGGCTTGAATGGCCGAGGTGAGACTGGCAGTGACCCACTCAAGAAAACGACCTTGGCATTGCTATGATAACGGATCAGAAAAAACAGCCTACAAGTAAGCGCCGCACCGCTGCTCAAGTCAGCCCAGCAGAGGCTCGATCGAGGTCGCGGCTTGATTACGGCAAACAAATACTTTGCGCACGTCATCTTTTGGTCGCCCAACACCTCTTCTTCTCTCGGCAGGCTCCGCTAGTGCTTTGCTGCTCAGCCGTCAGTTCGCCGCCGTCACTCTGCCCCCACCGCTGCTGCTGCGCTCCTCACGCCCACGGCCCGCCGCCTGCCCGCTCACCTGGAACGCGCGTCAACACAGCGCAGCAGCCTCCGATGTCAGACAGCGACGAGGAATCCCCGCAGCCGCGGGCCGGCAGCGGCGGCAGCGGCGCCGCCGCCGCAGACGACCCTCTCGACCCGTCGTCGCTGCCAGCGCTGTTTTGGGATGACATGCCGGCCAACCCGGAGGAGCACCCAGATTACATGGCTCTGAAGGTGCGCGCGCGCCCCGCACAGCTGTGATCAACTTCATTCACCACGTCCAGCCAGTGCCTCTGGCCAGACGTATGGGCCGCAGGCAAGCACCATGTATGGCGCCTCGGGGCGCGCGCCCCCAGCCCCGCCCGCCGCGCCCGCGCGGCAGGGAAAAAGCGCCAGCGCGCGGCTCGTGCGGCACATGTGGCGCGCAGCGGTTTGACGCCGGCTGTGCGCACGCGCGATGGCGTGCTTCGCGCCGCAGGCCATCGCGGACGAGTGCACGCCGGAGGAGCAGGCCGAGAGCTTCAAAGTGAGCACTCCCGGCTGCCTTCACATTTAGACGCTTTACTGACGGGGAGCTCCACATGAACAGGGATCTTGGGGACCGCGGCCGGGAGAGTCATTAGCGCTGAGTATGCATGTGCGATGACGACGCGCGGCGCATGCTGGGGTGCTGCCGACCGTCTTCGCAGCCACCCCGCAGCATGCACGCCTCCCCTTCCCTATGCACATGCACGCGCACATGCACATGCACGCGCACACGCACATGCACATGCACATGCACATGCACATGCACGCGCACACGCACATGCACATGCACATGCACATGCACATGCACACGCACACGCACACGCACATGCACATGCACAAGCACATGCACATGCACATGCACATGCACATGCACATGCACGCGCACACGCTCACACGCTCACACGCTTACGCACACACACACGCAATACTCACATGCTCACATGCTCACATGCTCACATGCTCACATGCTCACATGCTCATGCACATCTGGCGACCACAGAAGCAGGGCAACAAGAAGCTCGAGGTGGGCATCAAGGCCAAGAACCGCTTCCTTTTGCGAGAGGCTATAGGGCTGTATGGCCAGGGCCTGGCGCTGGGCAGCAGTGAGAGTGAGGTCAACGTCGCACTCCTCAACAACCGGGCCCACGTGCACTCCATGCTGGGTGAGCCGGACGTGTTTGTTTTCAAGGTTTTGGGCCTTCTGCCGGGCGGTGACGTCATCGGCGCGGCGGCGGTGACGGCCGCGCCTGTTTGTTGATCTGGCGGAGGGGGACGGGGCAGTGGGCCGCTCCCTTTCGGCGTGACGGGGCCCTGGTCCTTTGTGTAATGCAGCCCATTCCTGCGTCGCTTAGCTGGTTGATGCCGTGGTGCGTGCCCCTGCCCCCTTGGACACTGTCACAGCAATGCCGCCCTCGCCGCACCTCCACCACGCGCTGTGTCGCTGCATCAGCTCTCCCGTCCGACCGCCTGCAGCCGGCCCCCCTCACGTCCCCCCCACACACACAGACACACTCTCAACGCACAAACACACACACCTCCCGGCCGGACCCGCCCGATCTCCATCGCCCCCAGGCAACTGGCGCAGCGCACTGGAGGATGCCCTCGCGGCGCGCAAGCTCGACCCCTCCAGCGTCAAGGCGGCCTTCAGGGCGGCGCGCGCGGCGGCGAAGCTGGGGCGGCTGGGGCAGGCGGGGGACCTGGTGGATCAGGGGCTGGCGCTGGACCCCGCCAATAAGGACCTGCTGAAGCTGCAGCAGGTGCGGGGCCCGCGGGGAGGGGGGGGTTGAGGAGGGGACAATTGCGCGGGGCTTGTTGCGATGTCTGGAGGGGGCGTTTGTTTGGGGGGGCGCTCGGTTGGAC